CCAGGTTTAAAAAGTTTTCCCCGGAACCCCCTTTAAGAGTGGAGTAAAAAAACGGGTGTTTTTTTTTGTAAAAAACCAAAGTTGGTGACCCAAAAAACCTGGCTTTCCCCCACAAAATTTCCTTGGTTTCGAAAAAATTACACCCCCCCCCCCCATTAAAGGCGGCCGGCGGTGGAAGGCAGAGGCCCCTTTTTTCCTTTTTGGTTTCCCGGGTTGGAAAGGGTATTTTTCGGGCTTCACCCCCGGTTCCCTTCTGGGGGGGGCCCCCCTCCCAGGTAAATAGGGCAAAAATTGGTGTTTTTTACCCAGCAACCCAAGTTCTTGGTTTTGGGCCCCTTTTTGGAAAAACCGCCGGGGGGGGGGGGGGGAGGTTTTGCATGCCATAGTTGTTAGACCATTGGCCACGGGTCCTCGAGAGGACGGAGCGTTGTTCCCACGGGACCGATCACCGATCGTCAATCCCTCCTTCTTGCTTTGCCAAATGTGGCGCAAAGATGTTGTCTAGCCTGTATCCTATCTATGGGGGGGATGGGAGGGACCATGAATGGAGGGCTGGTATCAGGGAGCTCGCCCCAACAGAGGAAAAGGAGCGTGGATGTGTTCGTTATTGTTGTTAGCATCGACCGCGCTAACATGCTCATCACTGAAAAGCTGCCAGTCTCAGTGCGGTTGAAAACACAAATTCTTCAAAAGGCCGTCATGATCTAAGGACCTCGGTGAGGGGGCGCCATATGTGTCTGCGTACGTGATCCTGTGCATTTCATGAGCGTAGCACGGTGCAGACAGCAGTACCAACCACGGGACCTACAACGCCACACTACTTCGGACGCCCCCCCCCGAAATAGATCCCGGACTCAGAAGCCAACCTCACCGTGCTCTGGTCAGGGGGCCCGCTCCCCCCCCCTCCCGCAACCACGCCCCCCCCCCCCGCCCGCTCCACCATGTCCTCCGTCCCGCGGTGGTACTTGCAACGCCTGGCCTTGACGAGGGCCGAGCAGGCGTGGTTCTTGGCGCCTCCCTTCATCTGGGAAACCTCCTCGTGGACGCAGAGCTGGTCGCGAGAGCCCAGGAGGGAGAGTCTCGGGCGATACACCGTGTTCTTCAGCTCGTTCGCCACCTTTTTGGTTTTTTGGAAAAGGGGGTTGGTTTGCTTTGTAGAGAACATACACAACAATCACAGAAATACTACGCGAACGCTTTCGTTTTGTGTTCATTAGTTCCGATTTTCGTGTGGTGTTTCACTCGGTGCCGGTTATTGCTCCGTGTGACTCAAGTGTGGGGGTCACGCGGACAAATTTCTCCTTCACCGTTTCTTTTTCCCAACCTCTCGGCCTTGTTGCAGCCGTGTACATACATCCTTTCGTTCTACTTCCGGCACCTTGGGGTCTACTTTCGGCAAGGAGTTCCACAACCATACATCGGACTACGAAAACCGACCCAATGAACGGGGCGTGGGTGGTGCCCTGTCCGCCTACGGTGCCCCCCAAGCACACCGCGACTACCCGATGTCACCACAGCCACACCACCACCACCTACACCAACACGAAACAGCCACCACCCTGGGACCAGCGCACCTGGCCTAGCTGACTGTGGGTGCGCGAGGCGTAGATGATGACGGAGGGCATGGCCGCGGCTAAGGCAGGCTTGTTCTCCTGGTACGGCTGTTGCTCGTGTCGCGGGCGGGACAGGTCGGTGACCGGTCGCTCGTCGTACGCAAGCTGTGTAGGGGCAGGCTGCGTGCATGGGACGGGGGAGGCGTATAGCGGTTTGGTCCTCGCCGTGGATGGTAACATATGATCACTCGACCCTTGGAGGCAGATTACCTCACTCTGACTCACTGACGTTCCTACTCCCAATAGGGAGAACGTCAATTCCAACAGCCGGGCGGCGCCCTTCCTTCATGCTTGTTTGGCTAGTCCCCGCTCTAGGCGTGCGAGCGGGGGGGGGGGGACAGCCGGGGGGGGGGTCCACGACGAGAACCCTCAGAAGGGGATAAGTGAAATTGTCAAGCGATGGGATGGAAAAGGACAGAGTAAATAAACCACGGAGTGAAGCAGTATTATGCATATGCAGATAGTACATATGTGGTCGATCTGCCTTCGTCCTCTCGAGGATGTGAGCCATATGTACGCCCCGCGCGCTGGGCTCTGGCACAAAACAATTTCTTGTACCACAAAACGGGGGTGTTCATACTTCGTCTTTTACCCGTTTGCTCTGAACGGTTCATACTGCACACCAACGCTGCTTCGTTTTAGGCCCTGTGGTACAGACTATTTATGTTTTTTCGCTTCGAGAACATGGTCGTTGTTTCTACCTTGGAGGCCACCATGGCCGAATTCCGTTGTTGCCAAGCGAGAGAGGCCGTGAGTAGGCATAGCGTCTTGCCCGTACCGGTCGGGCTTTCCAGGAGGGCATTCTTCTGCTCGATGGAGTAAGACGAAAGGAATAAGACGAAGTGAATGGGATGAGAGCAAGATAATACAAAAGGAAAAATACGAGAGGAGTAAAGCGAAAGGAAGAAGACGAAAGAGCAACGACGAAATCAACAAGAGGAATAAGACGAAATGAATGAAGCGGTAAGAGTATATAAGACGAAAGGAACCAGACGAAAGGAATAAGGCGAAAGCAATAAGACGAAAGGAACAAGACGAAATGAACATGCCGAATAAGACTAAGACAAGAAGAACGCGTAACGGGGTCAGGCGGGATCGATTGAGGGACGAGCGATACATTCAAGAGGCCGGAGGGTGTATACTTAGCCAAGCATCATGCCTTTTGTCAGCCAGGGTAAGGAAACATTTCATTATAATCTGTACGCATACTTCCAATTCCAAGTACTGTAAAATATAGGCCAGTACTAGCCGTCAGCATCCCAGTGTAATGCCGGTCACAAATCCTATGGCAGTACTCGGCCTTACACTGAAACTGGGGCCACATCCTCTGGACATGCATACACTTCGCGAAGCATGTCCCCCTTTGACACCCACGGGTGTGCTACACGACGCGCTGTCCCTAATTTGAAGTAAATCGTGGGCACGCACCTTACGCTGCGGTGTCGCGATTATGACCAGGCAGCGCGAAACGCGCACGCAACTGCTGTTCGAACGATTGCTGATTTTATGTGCAGCCGATGAAGTGGACATTCCCGCCCTACTGGTGTGGCATGTGGGCTTGCTCCACTACTACTGTAGAGAGTGCCGGCACACTCGTTGTAAGATAAATATGCATTATGCTCGTCAGAAACCGAGGCTCAGATTAAAAATGCTGCTAGCATAGCGGCCGGCGCTACATTATTTCCTACATGCAAAGAAACCTTTGCTCAGTGGTGGGGACGAAATAAGGTTTGGGTCTCGCTCAAGATAGATGTTTCTTATCTCATGGGCTGGCACTGCAGTACACGCTATGTACTGTAACGGAGGAGTAGGCAGTACATGGGTTGCATGAGATACCACACCCCCTGGAACGATCGATAATATATGGAAGCTCGCTTACTACTTCACCGACGAAGAGGGAGCCAAACTTAAATGACACGCTCTCGGAAGTTTCTCAATCAGTAAGACCCAATGCCGTCCTTTTCGGCACTTCCTCTACTTCTGCTGCAGAGTAACGGAGCTTCGACAGCAATAGGCCTCGGGGGTGTGATATCTTGCGCAACCTACGGCAGCAGTCGACGAATCCGCACACAAATTCAAAATTCCCGAAAAAAAAAACAGCACGAGGAACGTACCGAACCATTGAGAGCTTCAAGCACGCCGCCAATATACTCCAGCTGGCAGTCGTATGGATTGAATGGGAAAGCCACAGACGTTCCTCCGATGTCGAGTGTGGGCATGGCCTCCACCAAGAAGCAACAAGTGGTACAGCAGTAGACACAAGCACAGCACACACACACACACCGCTCCGCTGGAGGCTGGCGGATGGGGCATTTTCATTCCACGGAGCCCCCGAATCTCCGGAGAAGGCTTCCGAAGCGGGCCAACAAGACAACAAGGGAACAGCAGAGAGATCAATACTGCATAGCACTTACCATGAGGCTCCTGTTGTACAAGCGCAATGTTTTGTTGCTCGTGTGCGCTGCTTACCATGCAGTCCAGGCCTTTGTCCCGGTGAATTTGTGCATGGGCACCACGGGGGCTCCCACCAACCCACCCGCTTCGGCAACAAAGCATATGATCAGTGCCTCCCCCGCATCAGTGAACAGCAGAGGTAGTCGGGGCATGACAAGGGCAGATGCTGCAAGGGCTGTGGGTGCTACCATCGCTGGAACGCTGGGCCTGAAGGTCACGTCTTGTTCTGCAGCCGTCAGGAGCAAGGAAGACCTGGTGAGTCTTGTCTACCCAGCCCCGAACATGTCAAGAGATCATGTGCAACTCGAGTGTGCATACATTCAGCAGTTGAAGCTATCGTACCGCACCCCACGCACCGCACGCAAGCTCGGGTAAGCACCCGCAGGAAGGTGTGCTGTCATTGCTGGACGCAGCAAGCGGCATCGGCTTCCTTCCGATCTCGAACAATAACTCTGTGATCCTCGGATACGACGGCCCTCTTTTTGTCGGAACCGCTGTTGTTCGGCTGGGCACAACAAACGGCCAATGACACTCCTTCCCTGTAACTGATTCGGAGGGCGGCGTGGTCTCTTTTAACTGGCTTTGCGTCCCAACTGGTGAAGTGGCGAAGTACTGTAAAGGTTTCGCGTTACGCAGAAATTGGGCATTTGCTTGACATGCCCTGTTTTGGTTTTGTGGCATGTTTTCTACCAACAGCTCCCCCGTCTGCCGGCGGCAATGTCACAATGGTTCCCTGCTGCATCTTTGTAGGTTAGGCTGCTGCGCGAAGCCAGGACACAGCTGGATCCGGTGGATCAGATGATTGAGGACGCCAAGTGGGATGCGATCAGGAATATAATCAAAACCTCTCCGTTGGCAGACGTCAAGGTACAATTCATGTCGTACTTTAATAGTTTTGCTAGAGAACGAGAAGACTTCATTTAGTCAGTCTTCCAGCGGAAAAAGCAAACAAATTTGTTGACACGACAGCAGCAGTCCTTCCGCCCCTGCCGTGTTGGAGGTTAAGCGTTAGGGTTTGTGTGAGTGCTCTGCACGAATTGCACCCCCAAGTTGGCAGTGAGAGAAACGTTTCATTTCAGCCTTTCGCTGCCGTAGCAGTGATCGTACCGCAGGTGCGGTGATTGTGGCACTGTGTACCCGAGTACAACCCTCTCGTTAGCCCAGCCCTTCTCTTGCTACACATCCCACTTGCCGTTGTCCCACTCCCATCCCATCGTTTCATTTGCCGACGAACTCTTAACTTCCATCACAGAACGTCATCGCTGAGCTCGCGCGACAATCGGACGAGGACGACTCGGCTCTCCTGCTTGGCCTACGGCAGGACGTGTTGGACCACGTCCAGTACCTAGACAGCTTCTCGTACAACAACGTCTTCGTAGGGGAGGAGCGCCAGATTCTCGGCACCAAGATTGACTTCGACACCCCACGGATGGGTGAGAGAGCCATTTGTGCCTTAAAGTTGAAGGTTTTTGGCTCGGAACGCCCGCCACCAGCTTGCTCTTGGCGCGCACCACGAACTTTTGACTCGTTTGATGTCAGCCCCCTTTACGACTAGATTTTTTTTTGCTACTTTTATCTTTGCGTCACAAATTTTGAGCTGCTTGTGTACCGCTGTCTCTCGCCTGATGGTGTCTCCACGACCTACTGTAGTACTGTATTAGCTGAACACCCTCTGCGATGACTCTGCGTCGGATGCAAACCTCGTACAACTTGCTCTCTTAGTGCGAGGGCGGTTGGTGTGAACACCCACCTTATTTTCCATGCCTTACCGCCCCTAAAACATTTGTGTTCTCCATGCAAGTCGAATCATGTGTGTAACGCGTTTTGGTTGAGCTATCAGAGAGCGAACACAGCAAGCGGGTCTCTGTCGCCAGCTAGCCGCAGTATGTGGTCCATGGGTAATTGTGCCTAGAAAACATGACCGGTGGGTTACTTAGACGTTTGGGCTGTGGACGAGAGTGACCGCTATGAGGTTTCGTTTACTTGAATGCCTTCCCTTGTTCTAGAACGAGATTCGCCACAAAAAAAAGCAGAAACAACGGTTTCATTTTGTAAGGAGGCGAACTCCAACTCTATTACGCGAACCGTTTCGTTCATCGCATGCACGACCCCGTTTCTGGAGCAAGAAACGACGCGATCAATCGTGTGTGTTGTCCTGATGGAATTCCGCTCTTGTCCCCCTGCTCCTCCTGTGCTACTGCTGCTGTGCTGTTATTTGTCTGGGATATAAATTTGCACGCGAGTTTAGAGCTGAGGCAGGCCCGTGAGGCTTTCGACATAATCATGGAGGTTTTGCCGTAGACGGGGCTAGGCATGGTCTTGGCTACGGATGCCGGGCTTGTGGTAGAGCTGTTGTTCTCCACGCTCCGAGCGATAGAGGTAAACTAACGTGTAGCTTCAGCGAACCACGTGCGTTTCTCTACGCCGCCGGCCTTTGTGCCATGCATCGATCGTAGCCTATCGCAGGACGTTGCTTTACCACTGTCCGATAGCAAACGGTTACGTTGGATTCATCGTGGCCATCCCTTTTTATGGAAAAAAACGTACCGTAGGTGACGTAAGATACCACACCCCCTAGACCGATTTTCCAAGCTTCATTACTATCATCATGACGGCGTTGGATGCTTCTCGTCTCGCACATCCTCTTCATCGTGCAGTAATCGAGCTTTGGAATTCGCTCCGGGGCGTGTGGTGTCTTACGTCATGGCACCCACGGTATCCTGTATAGACGAGAGGGGGTATGTGCATTAGAAACAGTCTAGTTTTATTGGTCAATAGGTGGTGGTTACGTGGAGGTAGACTGGCGTAGGAGTCAATCGCGATTTATTTTTTGTTTTTTTAGGCTCGACGTACTTTCTAGAGCGGCGTGTGGGGTGCACACTCGGTAAAGCGTGGAGGCGGTTGCGTGCATCATGTCTGTGTATTTTCCAGTACTCGGAAGCGCGCTGTCTGGTGCCCGTATCATCCCTAGAGAAAGAATAGATAGACCGATTCCAACACTGATTGACAAGTTGGTGGAGTCGAGACAGCCAGTATATTTGTATGTTTCGCTTTGTCTCCGTGATGGCTCTAGTACTACTGCTAATGATCAGATATCATCACCTCCTATCTACGGCGCGAAGCATTCCTGATACGGCACCCCACTATCGACGAAAGGTCGCACACGTTCAACTCCCGCAAACAGAGAGGGAAGAAACGAAAGGGAGTTGTTTGTGCTTTCACACCGTACAATGAGATGGAAATCGAAATCGAAACAAAGAGTGGGTGGAGCAAGAAATATGCAACGGACAAGCTCGCTAGAACAAAACAAAGAGGATCGGTAAAAAAAAATTACATGTGCTCGAAGAAAGAACTACCCTTGAGCAGCAGACAAGAAAAAGAAGAATGCCAAACAAAACACGAAGAAGCAGAAAAAAACTCCCGGGGCAAAAGGGACGACGGTACTGTAGGGAAATAGGTGTTATGGGATTCGACCCCTTCCTTCGGAATCAATCACCTTTGAGCTGTGTGGGACTCTCTTGTCCGACCACAGGTAGGTGCAGACAGGTAGGTGGAAATTGTTGTTGCTTGCCGTTGTTCTCTTTCTCTTCATCAACATTTTCGCAAGCCAACTCACAAGATCTCAAGCACACACGATCACCGGATCGTACGCACACTAAACAGCAAGGCACATGCCTCGGCATAAAGCCCTACTAGTCTAGCATGACGTCACATCATAGCATCTGACGACGTCAAACAGCCATGGTCAACCACATCACATGTCTACCTCCAAAAACCATAACACTACATGTAGCCCACCCTGAGTGGTCGTAGATGATGCAGATACAGAAGCAAACCTCGGAGGACTCTAGTAAATCAAGAGGATTGCGGAGTGGATCGAAGATGCGACAACTCAAAACCCTCACCCGCACCTCTCCGTTGCCCAAGAAAAGAAGCGGAATCAAGAAGAAAAGGAAAAAAAGTGTCATGGGATTCGAATATGTGGGAAAGTACCAACGGTAGTAGTAGCAGTGCGGGCTAATGCCCAGAGGAAAGTGCGGGAGATGTACCTCCCGATTGAAGGATAAAGCAGGGGACACGACCTTTGTAGCCCCTGTTAGAGGGAGCTGGTCTACCCCACATGCTGAGTCTACCTCAGAGAGCAAGGAATCAGCATGCACTGCTATCCGAAGAGGTAGATTAATCAGCAAGTGAGTCTTCACCAAGGTACTCAGGGATTGCTACGCGTGTCTATACCATTACACAAGGAAGCCAAGCGGCAGAGTCGGCGGATAACATCGGAAAAAAAGCACGCGGGGTGCGAAGACTACACTTACCAAAACATCCGAACCGAAAAGACCATAACACCAAGTAACGGAATCGTGCAGGGAAAATCACAAACGATCTCGCACGTATGAACAGGTCGACTACGCAATAAAAGAATCCAGAACCTTGCGGGAGGGGGAACCCCAAACGAAAACCAAGCCTGTCACGGCATACCGTCGACATGGAAAACCTTGAAGGGCCAACCAAAATCGATAAGACGCGCCGGAGAGGGGATTTCTGGAAAAACAAATAACAACGGCCAACGGGCAGGACACAAACGTCATGAAAAGGAACATTCGCATGTCACGAGAAACGTGCTTGCGATTGGGGGGGCGTCCGAAAAAACATCAAAACTTTACTTCAAGGCAAATTGCACGGAAAAATGCTAAGGGTGTAGCGGCATGGTACACGCCGACCGTGGCATGCAATAGAAGCACTGGCGGAACGTCGGACCATGAAAACGCAAAGCAAACCATAGACGGGACGTTAACGATGCACACCGGGGGCGGCACCACAACTAGGAACAAGCTTAGTTAGGTCGAGTTGAAAAAAAACAATAAAAAGGGGAGCGAAAACTTTCGGCAACCGACCGACATGTGTCAAACGGCGGCGGAAAAGAACGCGACACGAATGAATGCAAGAGCCAGTCAACACCAATTGAACAGAATAGGCGTGGATGCCGACAACCAAAAACAGATTTTGAGAACGTGACGAACCATCAAGTGAATGTTGACGGAGTCGATACGCGCCCGAAAACTACTACTTGACGATGTGTGAAGTACGGAAAAGAAAGAGAGTGGTGCACGCCTGCCTGCCCCACACAAAAGAGTGAAACCCAAATCCTTCGTCAGGCCCAAAAGGACATAAATACTACAGTAAACAAGAATAGATGTCTCTCGCTTTGCTCTGTTGAAACGTCCAGACAAGAAGAGCGCGTATCTACACGTACGGAACATAATAACTAGAACGGAATAAAATAACAAGGACGGAGAACGGAGAACCAAGAAACGCCGCACGCAGCAAACACATACGAATAGCTATATTTAGAACCTGCATGTAGATGTGTCGGGCAATCGTATATGAAACGACCCCCGTTTCTCTATTGGGCCTGACAACCCCCCCTAGTGCTACGTAACCCTAACCCGAAACCAAAAGCGCTTCTTGTTCGGCGGGTTGCACAGCGGCAGAAGATGCAGGAAGGATGGGGGGGGGGAAACCCAACGCTGTTTTACTGGGAAAACAAAATACTTTTCGGGGGAAGTCTCTTTTCTTATAGTACTCATCATGGAGGGAGCGGGGGGAGGGGGGACCTCTCGTCGAGGCTTGGCATGGTGCTCGCGACATTGGCGCTGGGCGTATCTGAAGCGGGTGATAATTGGGCAGAAAATTGATGCTGAGCGTTGGGGGAGTAAGACAACCCCAATGTTCAGAATCAGCTTTGTTGCCTGAAGATCGCCCGTTTCAGATCATCATCACCAGCGCGCGTTGCCGGAATCAAGAACCAGCTCGTGTCCACATCATGATCAGCAGCAAGAGCCCATGCCAAACGAACAGCTTCCTGAGAGCGCGCCTCTTTTCGCCCTCGATGGCCCCGGCCAGCCTCCCACAGTGCCAGTCGAAGCGCCGGCGGAAGTTCCCCGCGATGCCGCCCCCGGCGCCGGCGCTGCCGTTCATGTTTTCGCCACTGCGGCGACAAAAAATGGATTGTAGTCCTAGCCCTCCCCTGGACCACTGGCCGGCCAGACGGCCCACCTCCAGCGCGGTGATGACGCACGAAGCCTCAGCCGCCGGCATGACCCGGCGGAAGAAACCAGCGCTCGGGAGACGCTCGCTCCAGCGACGGCCCCACGTGTTGCGAGGCACGTCGCAGGTCATCTCGGCGGTCAGAACCACAAGCAGCATGAGGGCAAGCTGCTGGAGGGGGAGCGCTAGCACCGTTGACAATGGAGGCGGCGGGAGATCGCCACTCGAACACGAGAGCTCCCCGTCGCCGCCGTCGCCGCCGCTTCCGTCCCGTGAGAAGAATTCGAAGGCGAGCGGGGCCAGGTAGAGGAGGGTGAGGTAGAGCGGCGTGAGGAGCATCGACTCGGCCACGTTCGGGTAGCTCCGGTACGAGAACTGAGGATGAAGGTCCATCAGCTGCCCGTCGCCGAAACTCCAACGAAAGAACCGCCTGCCAGGGAAGAAGCCAGCCGCGGGTAGGATTCGACCCGTGGATCGAGTTGCCGAAATTGAGAGACGGGGCGGGGGGGCGGGGGTGTATACCTTGCAGTCTTGGCGAACAACGTGTGACAAGCCGTGAGTTCCTCCCTGGGAACCAAACCAACATCCCGCCACTGGCAAGTTAACAGCAGCAGCAGTCGATAGTGCCCCAGAAGCAAGGCTTGAAGCGTGGCCAGAGCAACACGTGTTGTAGCTCACACACCAAGGCACCCCGAAGCCACGCAAAGTTCTCTTCGAGATGATTATGGTTCTCATCACACCACGCGTCAAGTGGCAGATCTTCCGTGCTCTTCTCGTTTCAGTCGCATCGCTATACACACCATTCCATCGACGAACCACAGCATGTGCTGAACTTTGGAGTACCATAAATCCAGGTTTCTTGACATAAAAAAAACTGGCATAACTCGCACACCTGGGGGGGTGAAAACAACACAGTTTTTTCTACTAAGTAAACATGTTGGATAATGCATGCAATCGGGGAAGTTGAGTGAGGGTTAGGGAATAGGTTCTGCGTACCCCCTCCCTGTTCTATTTCCTCATAACCTCGTGAATCTCGCGAAGGCGGTCCACGCCCTTCCTTGCCTGTAGGTCTTAAAACGACCCCCGGGCCTCCACGGGTGGATGACGACGGCCTCAGGCGCCGTCAGGAAGCTTCCCCCCGTGTCTTTGGCGTGGCTGCACTCGTTGAACCGGACAGGGGTGCGAGGGGGGAATGTGTTGGTTGTGTTGTACATGTGTTTTTGTCCCGTCTACTGTCGGCTCCAGTCCACACTGCTGTTCGGTGTTTGCTTGGCGCATCATTCGGGGTCACGCAGGAAGTAGAAGGCACACTCTATCTTCTCTGTCTCTCTCTCTCTGGCTCACTCTCCACTCGACTTGTGTTTCAATTGTCAAAGCTACCGGTCGGAAACACTCGTACACTCGGGAGTAAATGAAAGAAAATCGCAAGCAAAGTGCAAGGCTGGCGTGAACCGCGGTCAACATGACCGGGACGGACGTAGAAGCAAAGGGATGCTAGCACCCTCCGCCAAACGAATTCACCTGAGGCAAAAATCCACGTCCTCTCCGCCCCCGGTCTTGGGGAACTGGTCCCCGAACTTGGTGATCACGCGCCGCTTGCCCGGCCACGAAAACCGCACGAGGAGGTTGGCGGTGACGCCCCAAGCTGGGTGCGACAACTCCCCGCTGATGCCGTACATGTGGGTGACGTCGCTCAGGGCGACGGCGCGGTGGAGCGGGGTCTCGGCGGGCGGGAACTTGGTCATCCCGATGAAGCCGCAACAGGTTGTTGTTGTTGTTGTTGATGTGGTTGTTGAGGCGGCGTGGCTGTGGTTGCCGCTCTTTGCGCCTTCGCCGGTGGCGGCGCTGACCTTTTCGCGGCCGTTGTCGCCGCCGCCGCCGCCGCCGCCGCCGCCGCCGCCGCCGTCGCACCCCTCGCTCTCCACCGTGTTGATGATCAGCCGCCCATACTCGGCGAGAATGTCGCCCTTCGGCTTGACGTCGTCGTCGAGAAACAGGCCCCAGTCGGCGCTGCTTTCCTGGAGTGCGCGGTTGCGGGACGGGCCCGCCCCGATGTTCTCCTGAAGGTTAAGGTCGAGTGGTTGACGCGCCACAAACCGTCGGTCATGGGGTAAATGTTATGGAGGAACAAGGGAAAAAAAGGGAAGGGAGCAGGTCCGCTGCTCCTTGCTAGGTCGTTCACAGTTAGTTGTTGCATCTCATGTTTCATCCTCTTCATACCTAGCCCACGTTCCGCGCTCACAAGTCGAGGGTGAGAACGGGGGTTGGAATCCTAGTCACAACAACCACCGAAAACACAAAATATCCGTGTCATGCCCATACAACACTCATACAGCGCTCATACACTAGTTGCTCCATTACATTAACTCATGCGTTGTACGGCACACACTCGCGCCGATACGTTGAAAACATCTGGCGGACGTAGATAGGCAGCTGCACATACAGACCACATAGATAGTTCGCGCACCCATTGTTCGACCGCCTTCAAAAGCCCATATTAAAGAAACAGAGAAAATTCTTTCTTTTGTGAAGACGGTATTAACATGAACAATGCGAAACAGTTTGCTCTTGCCTTGTCTACCAAGGGAATCTATTCAACGTGTATGCTATGCTTCCGAAGGGGTGAAACAAAACGTTTTGCGCGGACATCGAGAGAGTTATTGAGCCCCTTTTCACCCAACGTGCTCCTCGCCATATTCCCCCCACTACAATGCACTACCGTTGCAATCACCATCATCACGTTCCGTAGTAGGTGGAATCATGCGTAGGGAAGTTGCCCTGGGGCAGGGGGGGGGTGGCATTGATCCACTAGTATGGTATTGGGAAATGTTGTTGTGCCCGAAGACGGGGTGCTACTGCATTCAAGAGTAGTCGCGTTGTTCAGATAAAACTGTGTTTGACATGTTGTCCCGTTTTTATCTCACGCAAGAGGAAGGTGTGCTTACCCTACTGTATGTAGTTGTTTTTTCCCCGAACAGCCCGCACCTGGTTCTGCCGCACTCGGACAATGTTTGCTGTCGCCGCTCGTTGAAGCTCATTGGCCATTGTCCTTATCCTACTCGGTGCGATCGTGGGGTCGTCGACGATGATGATGAACATCGTTCGCATGTGCGGGGGAACCTCCAACGAACAGATCGCCGTGAGGATGGAGAGATCGTCCAGCCTTGTGTTCCAGGGTTTAACGCAATGGCAGCAGCAGCAGCAGCAGCAGCAGCAGCCAAAGACGAAGAACAAGCAAGAGGATTCATTGTACACACGAAAAACGAAAATGTAATCCAAGGATTTGTTTTTTCGACGAAAAAACACGATTATTGTTCGTTCTTCACAAGTATCACAACAGCAGCTGCCACCAAGCAGCGTCGTACGCCTAGAAAGGTGCATTGGCAGCGATGAAGCGGGCCAAGAAGCAGCAACAATGGGCGTTGTCGCTGGAGGACTACGACGATTGACATTAAACAGGTGGTTGAAATGAATGACATTCTTCTGTAGCTGCGGATAACTGTTGGAGAATAATCAAATCTTCGCGAAACAGAAACAACACTGGTTGTACTCGTCCGAAATCAATGTCCCGGGGAACATGCCCAAAACCTTCGAAACAACAAGCTGCACAACGCGAGCCACTCCCAGAGATGACCGCTACCGATCATCACCCTCGTACGCACCGGACCGTCGGCACCAGAACATCGAGCACAACGAACCGATCGAAACGGCGCCGCAGGCGCCGCCCGCCGTCCCCTTGGCGGATATTAACCTCCGGGGAGAGCTGGAGCAGGGGCGGGCGAGACTCGAGCCACGCGCGGGCCTGCTGTACCCCGTGTCCGAGCATTTCGGACTTCCAGTCTACGGCCACCTTCCGATAGCGTTGCTGTGCCGGGAGGGAGGAGGAGGAGGTGCTGCTGCTGCGGCCGGCGGCGTCTCCCTCGCACCCGCCGAGCGTGTTCTTGAGCCTGGCCGTCCGCGACAGCCGGGCGGCCCCGAAGCGGTTGTAGACCTGAAATGACGCGACGGTTGGATGTGCTTTCATCAATCAAGCTTGATTTCTTCAGCGACCAAGCAAGGCGAAGTATACAATGGGCGCAGGGGCCATACCTGTGCAGGATGTCTTCGACGTCGACGGAATCGTGGCCCAGCCCATCGCACAAGGAATGAGTATGCAGAGTGTACAAACATAATCGGTGCAATGCCCAGCCAACTGGTGGGCTCAATAACCTGATGTAGGGCAGGATATATAATGAGCAGATTATTTTTCCTTCCCTCTATGGGGTGTATTCTTGGCCCATCAAAAACGACTGGGCGCATGGCTTATTTTCGTCCCCCCCTGGGCGCACAAAATGTTTGGGTGCTCTGTTAACTTTACGCCGGAGCAATGTGCGACGAGAAATTATATTAATTATCATCGACAACTAGATAGCAGTTGGTCGACACGCCGCGTTAATCTCGTCGCTCCAGGACCGTGCGGGTTCCTCAACAATCCCTATCGCTCTTTGGAGGTTCGAGTAGACAGACCCCAACGGCACCCTTTCGTTCCAACGGGCCCCTCGTACAAAGCGACGGCGTCACGTGACCACACAAAATATGGACCATCTTTCACAAGAATCCTCTTCAAGTTTCGTTCATTCACCTCCTGAGCAATCTTCAATGTTCGACATCATACCGGAGTGGAGGACTCTGACCCAAGCATCATGTCGCAACATTAATCCCATGCACCAGTCAGTCACACGTGTGTGTTCTATGCACCCCTATGGCGGTTTCCACCATGCACCGTTTCGATTTTTTCCCGTTCCCTCTCCCACGTTACATGCATGCATGCTGCGTACCTCGAATATCCAAGGGTCCGCATCTTGGTTGACGAACTTCTCAGGAAAGATCTCGGGGAAAATCTCGCCGTGCGTCCGGTGCAGCACCGGGAAGCCAGGAAACCCGGGTGACAGCTCGTCCGTGAAGCACACCACGCCGAATCCGAGGGGCAAGAGGTCGACGAAGGGGCGCCCGAGGCCCTCCGTTGCCGCCGACGTTTGGGAGGACAGCTCGCGCTGCAGCGACTTGAACTCGTCTTGGATCTGACCCATCCACCCGGGAGAGAGAAGGCGCACGTCGTCTCCTAAAAGCACGGTGTATTCGGCTCCCTGCCGGAAGGCCTCCTGGGCGAGCTTGCGCCAGACGCGGCACACCTGGCCTTCGTGTACTCTGGGTGCTGCAGGCGACAGCAAGCGCATTAGGACGGCAGAAACGGATCATCGCACGTAAAGGAAGGTTTGTTCGTCGAGCAGATAGAATAAACTGGTGTTTATTTTGTGACAGTCGAATTAGAATTTGGCTTCATTTTCTATCGGAAACCCAGGGTCACGGTGTTTGGATTTATTTCTGTAGTCTATAGCTGGGGGTGTCATTCCGTGATCGAGTCCACGCAGGGGCTGTCGCTGCTTATACGACTCCAACCGTCACCAGATGCCGACACGGGCCTCCACGCGGAGCGGCAGGGCCGCGGCCGGGCAAGCAGGGCGGGGTCGGGCGGCGACACCCTCGACACCACGCACGAGGAGGCCTACCGCGCGATCGTTGGCGAGCTCGACGGCTCACCCCTCGACGCGCAGCGGGTCACGTACTCCCGCGAGGCGTCGAGCGGTATCCTCGTCGCGAGCGCGAGGGACAGGCACCCGCGGCGACCCCCCGCTGATGAGACTGAGCTCGCTCCTCTCCGCGGGCTGGTGGACGGCCTGAGGGAGGAGCTGCAGCGGGAGCGCGACGAGGCTGCCGGCGATCGCCAGCAGCTTCAACCATCGATCGACGACCTGATCGCCACCCAAGCAACAGGACCTGGCCTTTAGGGGGAGGCGCAACTGGTGGGCACAACCGCCCCACCACCGGCTGCTCGGGCCCCCGCTGTACCCAGCGCCGAGGCTGCTAAGGCTGCGGCAAAGGATAGGGGGCGGATGCAGGGGGACCTCCGCCGGGTAAAAGCGTGGTTCATCCTGGGACGGCCTCCGGCAGTTGCAAAACTGTCGCAGCCGGAGTGGCAATCCTTGCCTCGCAAAGGCGTTCTGGTGACAGAGAAAGTGGCGGCATCGCTCGACACGCTCTCAAACTTCCGGGTCGAAGATCGTGGTCGCAGCGTTGGCCACGGCAACGGGGGAGGGTGCGGAGGAGAGGCGCGCGCCGCTGGCGAGGGCGGCGCGAGACCCAAGGCCGCTGACTTCTTCACCCACGGGAAAGACAAATAGGGGTGTGGGCTCTCCCGCGTGGCGGGGGGGGGCTACCTCGGTTGTCAGCGCACATGCGGCCAAATCGAACGGCAGCACGCCGGTCTACACGAGGTTGGCCCCAGGGCAATCAGCAGGTTCAGGACCTGGGACAGGCAGGACGGGACTTTGTTACCGACGTCTTGGCATCCAGCTCGTCGAGCACTCAGTTGTCCAGAAGGACTTACACGTCAGGCTTCAACTCTTGGTGCACGTTTCGGAGGCTGACGGAGAAGCCCAAGTTTCTAGGGCAACGTGCCAGGGACCTTCATGTGTGGGAGTTGATAGACTTCGTAGCCTGGTGTTTCGAGTCTGAGGGTAATCTAGCGAGTACAATATTCGGAAAACTCACGGCTGTGCAACATTTTCATAGGCTGGAAAGCTTCGGTCGAGCTAGAGTTGTCGTCTCCGATGTTGAAATGTGCGCTAAGGGGGATGACGAGGAATCACGTGGCTATGGGGACGGTACGCCGTGTGCGCCTGCCTGTGTCTTGGTGTATGCCGCTGGACGGGGAAAGCGCAAGGCAGAACTGGGGGGAAGGGGGCAGAGTGATGTGGCTGTGTCTGTGCCTGTCCTATCTCTTCATCACACGGTCTGATGAAGTGGTCGCGAATGACGCGGGCAGGGTGCATGAGGCACACTGTCTTACGAGGGCGGACGTAGCATTGTTTGCCGGCGAGACGCAACTAGATTTAGTCACTATCGTAGAGCAGACCGTGTCGAAATGAGGTTTAGAGGGCACAAGGCCGATCAAGAGCAGAAAGGCAACATGCGGGTTCGTACGCGAGACGAAGTCACCGGACCGCAGTCAGGTGTGAGAGCACGCGGCGGCGCGTTGGCTCTTGTGGTGGAGCTATTGTCGTGTCATGCGACGTTGCCTGACTCCGCACCGTTGGCTTCGTACCGTAGTGGAAGAGCAGTGAGAGTAGTGAGGTATAGTGCTGCCCTCCGTGCAGTCAGAGAAGTGGTAGCGAAGTCGGGGCGTAACCCCCAGGAGTACGTGTTGCACTCGTTGCGAATTGGAGGCGCGACGGCTCTTGCATCGGGCGGAGACATCGCAGAACGAGTGATTCAGAGAGAAGAGAAGTGGAGGTCGAATGCCTACAAGCCGTATGCGCGAAACAATGTAGAGGATTCGCGGCGAGTGTCACGGAAACTTACAGACGGCAGCAGGATAGTATCGAGACAGCCGGGGGAGGGGACCGTATGGGGAACGCATAGTTGACTTATTCGGTAGTCGTCCAGAAACTGACCTCGATGTGGGTGTTGTAGAATGGTGTGTACCATTTGAGGACTTGGTCAGTTTTGGGACTCCTGCGGTTGCAGTCGTAGTCCCCCGGCTAGTATTTGTGGGGAGAGAGATGGATTTGTAAGAGTTGACGCCGGCCTTCGCAGCTAACGCGGCCGGAGAGACGATGAGCGTTTCGTGCGTCTCTCTCCCCAACACGTAGCCTAGAAACCGAAGAAATAATGAAGCGATTCGAAAGAAAACAACGGCAGAAACGGATCATTGCACGTAAGTAGGCTATATGCATGCCTGTCACATGTGCATGCGCGCAGGAGCAAGCATACTCCACAACAACAGCATTTGGATATTTTCGTAAAAAGGGACAACGTAGACAGCATTCTCACCCGTCCCTGATGTGAAACGGCTCACCTGCCGACGGCGACAAAAGTTGTTCCTCATCGCTGCTGCCTTCGGTAGGGGCATCGGGCACATCTCCAGAGGGTTGCTCGAGCGCAGGGGTCGAAGTCTTCACGCGAAATATCTCAAAGTCGTGCTCACCGCGAAACGCTCGAGTGAGAGCGGCGTTCCCTTCCTCGCTGTCAAGCACGGCGTCGCCTTCGTCGATACCGACCAAGACCTTGATTCCGCCGCCTGAGCGTTCTGCCTCCGCAGTCGTCCTGAGGACGCCCTGGGGGCAAGAGGAGGGGGGCGGCCGGGCGGGTGTAAACACGATTGATTTTGTTGGGAGAGTGAACGAAGTGCCGTGGCTTGTAGCTGTCGGCACCAACACTTCATCACGTCGATTGCTTGTTTCACGTGCATTTCTTCAGGACCCAAAAAATTGCTGCCGCCGTACGGGCAATCAAAGAGTGGACGATGATACGTCAGAGCACGGGCACCACTCCCTCTCATCGTGTAACGTGGGCTTTGCGCTGCGCCTTGTCGATGATTTCAGGAGTGAGTGTCTCCACGACTTTTTAGGCCAAAGCACGCCCACGTACCTCCAAGAACCCTTGTAGAGCAACCATCAAATCAGAGAGAGGTTGCACACCCTCCCCTCCCACTCCACGCGAGGTGATCGGTAGCAGCACTCCCCACATTTGGATGCCCTCCATGGACGGAAGAAGAAGTTTCGTCGTTCGCGATCGAAGTTGCAGCTACGGCACCGCAGATCTGGCGATGCTAGCAACGACGTGTGAAGGTGTTGTAGGCTTGCTAATGTACCGTTAACGCAAATGACGGGATCAAAGATCCAACAACTCACCACAGATAGAGCCTGCACGCAGATAGAGCCAGCTATAATAATATTGTTCTCGAAATATGCTTCACGTCGTCGCACGCGCACGCACGTTTGTTGGAAGTTGGACGCTGAGGCTGACGAGGATTGAACACGCTCACGAGGCATCGCACTGATCATCTAGCTGTGCCAATCCCAACCTTGAAACATCGTGAAGTGCCACCACGAAGATGCACACACCCGCTGGCGACGGCGTCTGACGGTCTTTGAAAAACAACAATTTTTACTAATTTAAGTGTTGTTGTAGATGTATGGGTCTCGGTTATCGATTCACTCGCATTTATGGCTGTTGTACCGGGCGCATCAATTCGCTGCTGCTGTAGATTCCATGTGAGCTTCTCTATGAAGCACAGGGATAACGTGTGCCACAGGAATCGTGGGGTTCTAATGTGCGGGGGCGAAGTTCGGCACTGAATACGTGATGGTATTGCGCTGTGCGAATTCGAAAAGCCCAGTCGTGCGTGCGCTCGTTGGTTTTTAGTTTGACAGTCCCTTTGTTTATATATTATCCACCAATGACCCAGCTTCCCACAGAGCTCTCACATTTGATGTATCTACATCTGTAGTGCACACAGCGCCGGTGGCTTAAAGAACCTAGCATTTGATGTATCTACATCTGTAGTGCACACAGCGCCGGTGGCTTAAAGAACCTAGCCAACGCGTGTGAAACTGTAAGGACAGCAGCCAGAGCGGACGCATGATCCCGGTTTGGCAGTGCGCAGGGAGTGTTCGGTGCTGTTCGAAGGTTAAGGTTTGTAATTCTGCATCATGGACCGAGAGGGGAAATTTGCGTGAAATTGTGCAGAAAACTTTATTAGGAAAAATAAGTACACCAACAGAAAAAACTGCAAGTCGTAGGAAAAATCGTGGTAGCACCTAACAGCACAGAGGACCTGCCACAATGACACATTGTTCGGGATAGTCCTCGGGTGTGTCTGTGCTGCAGTCTCCACACAGCACCGTGAGGGTTACGTCAGACACCTCTTCTTCTGTTGATGCATGACTGGAACTAGGAGACAGCTGTTTGCCAACAGAATGAAAGTGAAACCAGCGGGAACGAAAGAAGACATCTGTTGGGGGAATCTGGAAGGAAAGAAACCGAACTTCACGGATGCATGTTCCCTGAAACAGATCGTCCCACATTGTGCGGCAAGAACAGAAGAAGCAAGGAACTCTCTGGTTCACATCGTATGCATGAATGGGCCTACACTACCTACACTTGTCGGCCACAGAACCATGCGCGCGTTTACTTTCATTCCAGCGCCCGCAATGACTGCTGGGAAACCGAAACAAGCATGATGCACCGTGTTGCCAGCCCTCCAGCGCAAGTAGGTAACCGTGTGCAAATCAAGCACACCATTGACACATTGCAAACTCAGCGTTCCTGGTGTTCATACAAAAATCACCAGGAATTCCTGATGATCGAGTTTGCAATGTCGCACCGACTATTCGCCAAATCACCGGGAGGATCTTCCATTCCCGATGAAATCATGAAAAGGGCTTTTGCCCCTTTTCATGATTTCATCAGGAAGGATCTTCACGACTGCGGTGCCCGCGCCCATGTCCGCACCGACTGCCAGCGTGAACGAGCGTGCACGCACACAAATCCACGGTTCTTCCCAACAGCCGTGTGTCACTCGTCAACTACCAACTCGTCAAGTACCAACCACCATCATGACCAACAACGCCCCGAGCTGGCAAGGTGGTGAAGGGTATGCTAGGGGGGGGGGTACGCAGCCGCCGGCTTCCAGCCAGCGGTGTGGAACGGTCATGAGGAACGAGAACGAGGTGTTATAGCGCTTGGTCCGAGCAGCATGGATGGACAGCAGCATCCGCAGCAGCGAGCGGCAGCAGTCGTCTCTTCCTTGATGCGGCGTCGTTTGCTGCGCTCCTCCCCTTCCCTATCGTGGGTAGAAACTTAAACTTCCTAAGTTTCTTCACAGACACAAGGTGTGTGTGACGGAAGGCTCTCTCGCCCGGACTCTCAGGCACCGACTGCGCAATCACAACCATCTCCTGGAGACCAGCCTCTCTGCCTGCTGCGCCAAGGCCCCCCATCTGTTTTGCCAACGCATACACGCTTCATCATCGTCACCCAGACGGCACATCTCCTCATTAGCTGCCTCCAACTGAGTCATCAACTCGATCGTGTTTCTCTCGTGCAACCATGCAGCGGCCTGAGCGTGCAGCTGGCGCTGCTGCTCAGTTAACCCCTCCTCTCCGGACATCGTGTGTACTACTGGCGTAGCTGGTTGTGTGGGTAGCGGCGGGATGTGTCCCTACTGCGGCAACTACATATGAACAGTCGAAAATACGCGGCGCGCGGCCGGACACGTCATAATTTCTGGTGATGGGCCGCACAAACACCAGGACCGGAGTTTGCACACCGTTCGGATATTTGGCTCTATCCCGATGAAATCACAAGGACGTGTAAACAGCCGAATATACCCCCAACACCAGGACCGCGGAGTTTGCAATGTGTCACATGATGCCAGGACCACATCGTTCGACAAGCAGCAGAACGAAATGTTTGTTTTTCAACGTGTAGCAGGGAGACCTGCTCCCGCCAGCACGCCTCCTCTTCATCTTCATCTCCACATCAAGAAAGACAATATTATCTTCTTCGACCAAATAATTAGATCCCGTGCTCTCGTTCTTGGAAGAAACAAAAACAACAACGCGGCCTACAATAATACCGGTCTGGTATATCGAAACGTCCAAAACGTAATTCGCTTTAATATGCAACCGAGCTATATTTTTAGTCACTAAACTACCGCTCAGAATCTATTCTTCTCGACTGCGGGCTATAAAAATACATCGTCGCTCCCCGCACATACATGCGAACAACCGCGTACACGACCTTCTCCGCCCGCCCGACTATCGCGAGGCTTCCGACAGAAAACCACGGAGTGGCCATGGCCAGCTGAACAAAGCAACAAGATGAAAATTACAAGTACGTGGTTGAGGCACCCAGCCTGCCCCCTGGGGCATGCATTAACACAGAAATAGTGAAGACAAGAACGATAGCTGTCCAGGGCTAAAGCACATACACCTACTCGCAGAGACAAAAGCAATACAAAAAAAGTGACGAGTGTGCGGTTGAAGACCCCAAAAGACTGGAAGACTGATGGAACTACTGTAGCGACGGAATCGAAGGCTACTCGTGTATTGCAGAAACAACCCTTTCCAACAAAAAAATCCAGTCCCCAAAAACGAAATCGAACGTCCCTGGCAAAGCAGCCAATCGAGACGATAGAATCAAGTTGAGAAATTGGTCGTGGAACAGCCTACAGGCCAGAAAATGGTAACGCCTGTCTGTCTTGCGAATTTGCCTCCCCTCGTCGAATGACCCGGGGTACAGGGAACACGTGAAAACAGAAAATACCGCGACTGTTAGCCTCAAACGCACTACCAACTACCAATAAAACTTTTTGGGGATGGGGGACAACTAGAACAAGCGAGGAAAGTTTCCCATCGGAAACCTCCTCTAGCCTACCCAACAACACTCGAAAAATCCCCATATATCCGACGAAACAAAGATTGGTGCCACAAGGGAACCGTTTTCCGAACGTTCACGAATTTCAAGCCCCGTTGGTACTCGATCGATTCTCTCGCGGACAGCTATGCATAGCTGTACGAGAAAGAACCTCCCATTCAATCATCATGCCCGGACGAACGAAGAGCTCATAGACAAACAAAGCTTTACGGAAATCAAGAATCCACCCTCAATTTGGTTTTTCTCCATTCTTCCTTTCCGCCACACCGCCCGACTCAAGGTCAGCTGGCTGGCATCGGACTCTATAAACGGGGGATGCCGAACACTCCTCACGGGAGTCTCTCAAGCCAACAAAGCGTGGTTCTCTAGCCGAGAGACCCGGCGCTCGAATGCTATGCAACGCGACTCCCACTGCTCTTGTGACGACTGCTGGTTACTTCCCAGTTTATCGTTGGTCGACTCATCAAGCTACAGAAGAGTACATGCCTAGTTGAACTCCCACCCCGATACCCATGAAACAACTCAAAGAGAGCCTCAAAACACATGGCTGGCAATCATGCCGACAAGATGGAAGCTTGTCAACAACAACCCAGACCCATATCTCTCTCGAGGCCCCCGGCCGCTCAAGTACCCTACCCCACTCCCCCCGCCATCAAGCTTGAAACCCCTTCGCCGACATCCAAGGACGTTTCCGACGCAAGCTTCCTTGCCTGACAAAAAATGCCACACAAATCTCGGGAAAAAATACCGACACACCCCGATTTCTCTGGTACGACAGCAGGAGTGGGTCAGAACACACCAACCAGAACACACAACGACGCAAACGCACACGCATGGAGACAACAAATAACAACACGGGGTGAGGGGAAACTATCTTGGGCGCCGGAATAGAAGAGAGAGAGAGACCTCCCGTTCCGAGTCCGTCCCCGCTTCGTTCCATGCCGCCGATTTTGTTTGTAAAATTTGGGTTGCGCCGCATGTTAGTTGCGTGTTGCCGCGAGCACCGCGAACATGCCGCCCGCCATAGCGGCGACGGATACAACGCTGCCTGCCGACAGAGCCGCGGAACCGGCAGTCGCCGCGCCGGGGGGCGCGGTGCTCGGGGCCATGGTGTCACCCAGAGCAGAAGGCCCCGCGGTGCCAAGGTCGAGGTCCCTGGAGCCAGCCGTTGGCGCCATGCTTTCGCCAATGTCGAGGTCCCTCGAGCCGGCGGTGGGCGCCGAGCTCATGCCAGCCTCTTCGACGGAAGTGGGAGCCGGGGTGGGCACGCCGGTGCCGAAGTCAAGGTCCCGGGAGCCGGGCGTGGGGGCGGCGGTCTGCGATGTCGGGGTAGGCGCCATGGTGACAGTCTCTCCCGGGGCGAGGGGAGCCGTAGTGGTGGCGGCGACGGTCGGGACCACAGCCGGGGCGGGGGTGAACGTGCCTTCGACCATCACGCACGGAGCGGTGTCAACGCAGGCGATGTTGGCGGCCAGGATGGTGGCCGAGCAGCAGTCCTCAGCACCGTTGGTGCCGGCGATGTCCCCGCAGCCTTCCCCGCCGCAGACGCCGTTGCACACCTCGGCGCAGCAGACCGATCCGGAAGAAACGCCGGCAAGTCCGTTGGCGCAAGTGGAGGCAGTCACCTCTGAGGTGCAGGAAAAAGAAGGACGTGTGGGTGGGTCGGTTAGAACCAAGATGTTACTACAATCGAGGTTGGAGTGTACAGCCCAAAAACTGAACGAACCCTATCGTGCAGGATGACGTGGGCACGACGTGGTTCTCTCCAAGGAGTAGCGAGAACGGGGACGTGCGGTATCGTGGGCAAGCAAGCCGTCACCGGCAGCTAATCCCCCTCGCTGCGTCATCATCATCAGATCTACGGAAGAGGGTCCAGCAAAAAGCAGCAATGGCTTTATTGACCAGCAGTGTTCAGCTGACTCACCAGGAGGGTCCACGACGCACGGGGCGGAGCCCTTCTCGGAGCAGAGCTCGTCGTTGGCGATGATGGTGCCGGTGCAGCAGTCGGCGCCGGTAAGGCCCGCCACGTTCCCGCAGGTGGAGCCACCGCAGACAACGCATGCAGGGTCGCAGCAGACGGTCGCATCCTCGTTCTCGATACCAGGGAAGCCGTTGCTGCATACCGAGTCGGCGACAGCGACTGTTTGCCCAAAGGGAGCAGCAGAAGAGAAACAAATTGAAAACCGGGGCAAGTGTGTTTGGTGAGTCAAACGGGTGCAAATTTTGAAACACCCATGGTGCAGCACATTTTCGATTGTGTGCTACTCTCGAATGACGCGCGTAGCAAATAAAACGCGTAAAGAAAACGAAGTTGTAGCAGCAAGTCATACAGCAGCAACGACATGAAACTAAAAAATGTGACGACCTGTAGATAGCCTGTACACCCGATCGACGCGTAGTACATACTAGAACGAATAACCGCAGCTGCAAGTCATCAAAACTTTCAGATGTTGACGAACTGCTCCACACCTGCTACTTGAGTGCAGGGCGCTTCAATGCCGTCTCCGCACACGATGCCCGACTGCTCGATGATGGAGGCACAGCACTGGCTGGCGTCGACACCGGGGATGGTTCCGCATCCCTCCCCTCCGCAGGACTCGCCACACTCGAGTGGGCAGCAGACGTCCGTGTCAGGGTCTTGGACACCGGTCTGGCCGTTGTCACACACTGAGTCCGCGGATGCGGCCTCTGAACAGCGGGAGAGAGAGGCAACGAACGAACAAGTGAGTAGATCAGCTCTGCTGTGTTCCAAGCCTTTTGAGCGTGTGTAGAAAACGGGAACAACAGGGACAAGTCATTAGCACTGATCATGTGGTAGACAAAGACCAAGCACAACTCAGAATTTCAGCTCCAAGGCAGATACAGAGGCCCTATGATATAGTAATTCATTTAAAGCAGTGACGAAATAAAAATATGTCACAGGCACTGTCCTTTTTTTTGGCGACTACCATGTAGCAAGGATGGTACTCCAGTGTGCAGAGAGCGAGAGCTTAGTGTTGGTTACCAGAGGATGAAGCACGTCGCGCCTTCCATCGCACAACGCGCGCATACAAAACGATTGTCACGGGCAAGCAAAAATTGGAACACAAACAAACAGCTTCGCCATCGAACAATTCTAGCAACCACGACGCGCAAACTACTTGCGCAATGGATACACCAAACATGCAAGCACGGATCAAAACAGAAGGCTTTTACTCTCGACAGCAGGTACTCTACAGCGAGCGAGGGGCAGCGCAATCCTCACCGGTAGAGAGGATGCAAGGGGCAACGCCGGTGTCGGAGCACATGACGCCCGATTCCGAGATCTCGGTGGCGCAGCAGTCGTTCGCCGTGAGCGAAGAGGTGTTGGCCGGGGTGCACCCGACGCCACCGCAAGTCCCGCACTCCAGGGTGCAGCACACGTCAAGGGAGGTCGACTCCACGCCCGAGATTCCGCCGGCGCAAGTCTGAGCGCCTGAAGGTTCATGTAAATTCGTGAGACAGGGGGTGGTTGTTGTTCAACGTACATGTAGCCGGTGAGTCAATGATCGTTGGCAACCCAAACCCTACCAGAACCCTACATGCACGTGAAGCATGGGGATGGACTACGTCCGCCGTCGTGGTGGATACCCACGCACGCATGTAAGCTCAGCGAACGACACAGGTGAAGAACCTAGAAGGAACGTGAAGAGTCGGCGGCATCTGCAGGGTATTCGGCCCTCGCCCGGCTTTGAAAAAATGAGCAGCTGGCCAACGAAACTTAAACTTTCTGTCGGCCACTCCCGCGAAATCATGTCTCCCCATAGAATTTTTTCACCCATCGGCTGTGCTGGTGAGGTCTCCTAGGAGGGTGGCGGCGTACGCAGTATTGATATGTATATTGTATGTACATGATGCTCTGGGTTCCGGGAGCAACAATCAATTGATGGTGGACGAGCTATTTAAGAGAGTTCTGACGACGGAATAACACCACCTTGTGTGTGTGCGTCGACAACGTTCGCATTTTCGAGCTCTACGTGTCGCTCGTGCTCACCAACACCAACTAGGGGGGGGCAGTGATCATACCCAACGATGGTCAATGCTAGTGATGTCGGCGAGCGCGCGCGCTCAAGAGGTCATGGTTTCGAGCAAGCACGAGCGCGCCAAGTAGACACTAGGGGGGGAAAAGGATTCTTTTTCGAGTGTGACGTTTGAAGAATGAAGCGTGGCTTGCTGCTGGCTCCAAAAAAAAAGCGGTGCTGTGTACCGCAGAACCCATGTCCAGGTCATTCACATCCATCCAGCATTCATATTCAACGTTTTCTCACCGACAGACCCAGCCAGAGCCAGCACGACTCCCAGCAACGCCGCAAAGTTCATCTTGTTCATCATTGCGATAACCTGCTGTCTGCTGCGGCGCACGCAACGGACGGTTTGGGAAGGGAGGAGGGTTGGGTCACCAACGGAGATGGGAGAACAATTCGAATTTTAACCTTTTTCGGATTCGGCACTGCCCACACGTACCACAAATACACTGACAAAAGATGTGCTGCTGCTCACTTCCCATCAACATGAACGAAGGCGTCTATCTCTATCGCCACCGCTAATCTGTTGAACGAGCTCCCGCGACTCATACATCCTCGTGGCACATCCCCAGACAGCAGCAGCAATAAACGGCTACTTTTCCGGAAAGGGTGTGCAGACGGAGCCGAAAAGGTCGAGAAAAAGAAAAAGGAAGAAAAAAGCTGTTCCGAACGGCAGCTGGCTGGCTGCCTCCGGCATCGACCGCGCTCAGTATGTACACCGGCACGCCAGCTCTACCAATAAACGACACGAGGCGCATGGGCTCGCTGTATCTCCTGCGCGCCACTGAAACCCCTTGCAAGTCACCAGATACAGCTGCAGTGGCTCGACATTGGGAGCGCCATGGTCAGGGACTCCTGGGGGACCCTGAATCCAATTTTCGCGCCCGACAACAACAATTTCACAATTTCCGATCTCCCATCGTTCCACCTGCTCCAACGGAAAATATCGTTAGTCGAGCGAGGCGCGATTGGCGCACGCGGCGGCTAGCCTCCACATCAGGTAGCCACGCCCAAGCTCAGCCCCAGCTAGACTAGCATCCTTTCCGTCTCCCTCTCCCCGTAATTTTACGTCGGCGGTGTTGGCGCTCCACCTGACCCGATCTCTCTCTCCCGGACTCGGGGCTCGGTGCCATACAAACGCAGAAATCTTACACAAGCTACGGAACGGACAGGGGCAGGATCGCTCACCTGTTGGTGTGGTCCTTGGGGGAAGCAGGAGTAAGGTTGCTGCTGTGGCGAACGAAGGGAAGCTGTGAACAGGGCGGCGCGAAGAGACAGAGAGCTGGAGAGCGCGCTTGGAAGAATGAGATTGTGGGGGCAAAGGGACAACAAAAGCGAGGGAAAAAGAGGAATTCTGCGGACCGGAGGGGCCACAGGGGGGGGCAACGCAGATTGGAAAGAGGAAGATAAGATTCGGACGAGAGGCGTACGGTCTCCATCCGCCAATCAAAAGTGGCATGATGTATGATATCGAACACCAGCCGTGGGTTAGGGTTAGGTTAGGGTTAGGGTAGATGTGGGGTGAACAACCTAGCCTTTCTCGCGTGAAGAACCTAGCCTTGCTACGTTCAACATCGGTTAGCCCTTAAAGAGTTACTATCAATGTGTAACCAAGGCTTCAGCCGTGGTTGATTTTTTCGCTCTCTCTCTAATTCTCGGCATACATATATTTCGCTCTTTCTCCTCCTCGGCATATTCGTCGCGCAACACACCGTGTAAATGCGATATGTACACATACTGTATGCATGCACGAGGAAGATATTCAACAAATAGGCATGACTTATGTGTATGTGTTGAACCTGATCCTCTCGGGCCGTCCGTCGCCATCTCCCTACTGCTGTGCGATGTTCTTTCTCTCGTTTTTTTTATTTTTCTTATTATGACACAACGAAACCATCTCTATCGTAGAAAAGAGTCTGAGACAGATTAGCAATGGATTCATAGCGTCAGAAAGTACCTGTATGTCTACGATTTCCCAGACAGCATATAGGGACATCTCCCCTGCGGGTAACAGGCTCAACAAGACGTTTTCTCTCTTTCGGCGTAGGGGAACATACGTCACAGCCGGGAAGATCAATACAGAATAGCGATAGTTTCTGAAGATTTTCAGATTATATTGCACCTTTAGTCCCAAGTAGTGCGCCGACACTACACGTATTAGTCATCCAATCCAAGCTGTGGACGAACCTATGCTGTAGGTGTGCACGGTAGACACCCTGGCGCACAAAAACTCCAAAAAATATCGTGTTGGTCCCTACAGAAATGCATGTAGACTGAATTTTGCTGTCCACGCACCTGCCGGCTGTAGGTTTGCCCGCGACCCATACATCGGATCATTAAGGAATAATAACAACACACACATCATCATCAACGGATGGACCGGATGGATTTGGATGGAGATGTGATTCCAGGAGGTTTGATTCTACCTAAATTGTTGCACAGCAGGACGAGAACACACATACACACACGCAGAACACGCCTGGTACCGGTCGCGGTAATCTTGGCATCTTCCTTGTATACTGCTAGCTGTACATGCGTATTGTGCGGTCGACTCTTCTTACATGAAAGCCAACTACTTTCTTGCTGATGAGTGAGCCTAAGGAGACTAAATGACCATGCACTCATTTTTCTCACACATGCGTTCGCGGCGTCAGCCAGGTAAGACTAAATGGCGTTCGCGGCGTCGGCCAGAAAATGCTACGATGAGCTTCGCACAGCTGTATGTAGCAGTACTCGTACTCAGCAGTTGCAACGTCGCTGCAACCGATACGTGCTGTAGTGCACCGAAGTGACATGGTTGTGGAGGGCAGCAGTGGTGGTGGTGCGCTACACCAGAATACGGCTTCCAGATCAGGAACGGCATGACACGCCGGTGGTTTCCCGAGAAAGGAAAACAACAAAGAGAACCGATATCGCATCCGTGGCGGCGGCAAGAGTGCCCTCGCGTGAGGTCACGCGAGGTCACGCGCGTAGTGTTGGGAACGGTCCGCACACAATCCCAGCGTAATCTTGGGTGTAAATACATACGGGAGCGCAAATTCATTGACATTTCGATTTCCAAAAATGAACGTTAAATGTTCCTCCCCCTGTGCTCCCCCCGTCAGCGTTTTCCGCGCATTATCTTGCGGTACCGCCCGGATTTGTTTCGGTTACATTGTGCCTGCGGTAGGTCCAGGGTCGACATCCTGGGTTCAGCGTATCACCGCGATCGCCATTCCAATCACTCGCGAGGGAAATCAAAATTGACTCTGCCTACCAACAGCAAGTACCGCTGCCTCCATTGGGTGGGCGCACTGCAACACCAAGGCCTCACTTATGTAGTACTTCTGCAGACCCCCCCCCCCCCCCTTTCAAAACATACAGCAGCAGTAAAATAGTTGGGGCTGCAACGAAACAAATTTCAAGCACGTGTTCACAGAGTAGTCAAATCAACAATTTCACAATTACCCCCTTCCTATCCCACTTTATACACGTTGTACGAGGGCACACTGCTAAAGACGTAGGGACAGCAACCGAGCACACACGGCCCCATCTACTGGGGCTACCGAACACACTGCTCAGCGCGCGGCTCCCTTACGCGCTCAGGAACCTGCGACGCGAAGTCTAGACGACTCTCCAGCTCGTGCGCAACTCGGAGCATTGCCGCTTCCCCCAGTGGCCTGCCAATGATCTATACAATAGGCGTGGTAACAACCGCATGCAGCGCCAGTTGTAGACGCCAACAGGCAGGAAGGTGCCGTGGGTAACGTAACAGCGAAAGGTGCGAACGAGAGAGTGCATGAGTCACCATGTGCCATTCACATTTGTGGAAAACGCTTCGCACAGGCAACACACAATTGGTGTGTCGTATCCGAAAGCAGCTCATAACTCTTCATGGATTCATAACCCACGCACTTCTCGAGGACAGGGATCTTTTCTCTCCCAAACTGCATGGGGGGGGGGGGGGGGGGGGGGGGGGGCCCACCGGCCCCCGCAAGGTTCCTTTTTTTTAAAAAACCCAACCCCCCCAACAACCCCCCCCCAAAACCAACGGGAGCCCTCCCAAGGCCTTTCCACCCGGGAATTTTTTAGGGTCTTCCCCCCCCTTGGGGGGGGGAAAAAAATTTGGCCAAGGTTTTTCCCCCCGCCCGGAAAAGCAAAAAAAAGGCCCGGGCGGGGGTGTTCCAACCCCACCCCACAAAAAGGGGGACCCAAAAAATTTTTT